TACCACTGTCTCCCTCTCTCATTCTCCTTTAGCCAAAGGCCTCCTTGCTTTTGCCCAGACAAGCTAGGTACTCTTCTATCTTGGATCTTTGCTTTAGCTTTTTCTCTACCTGGAATGCACTTTCCCTAGACACCCATTTGGCTCCCTTACCTCCTTCAAGTCTTTGCTGACATATCACCTTCTCAATGAGGTCTACCCTGACCACCCTATTTAATACGACAACCTCCCCCCACCTTTACCTCCTAGGCCAGATCCTTAGTTGACATTCTGCTCTTTTTCTTATTTCCATACCCCTCATCAGCTTCTAACACTATACAATTTACTTATATACTGTAATTTATACACACTAGACTGGAAGTTCTATGAGGGAAGGCAACTTTGTCTTGTCCACTGACATGTCCCAAGTGCCTTGAGCAGACTACGCATATAGTAGGTGCTCAGTAAACATTTTCTAAGTGAATGAATGAACAAATAAATGAATCAATAATGTATATCCAAGTCAATACCACATCCTAATCCTGACAAGTTTTCTAAGGAACATTTCTAGTATCTGTTCCTTCTGCTCCATACCTACTCCTATCCTAATGATACTTTTATTACCTTATAACTGAGATTTTGAAGGAATTTCCTAAGTGGGCTCATTGACCCTGTACTCACCACTTGCTCACCATTTGCTAACAGTAAACCAATCCCCCTTACGGTGCTACTCATGTCACTCCCATGCCCATGATGTAATGTTTGGCCTCTTTGCTGTTGATGTTATTAGCTGCCATTGAGTCAGTCCTTGATTCACGGTGATCCCATGCACAATGGAACCAAATGCTTCCTAGTCCTGCACCATCTCCATGATGGCCTCTTTAAATAACAACAAAAACTCACTGCCATCAAGTCAATTCTGACTCACAGCAACCCTATAGGACAGAGTAGAACTGTCCCCTAGGGTTTCCAAGGCTGTAATCTTTACAGACTGCCACATCTTTCTCCTGCTGAGCAGCTGGTGGGTTTGAACCGCCAACCTTTCAGTTAGCAGCCAAGGACTTAAGCACTGAACCACTAGGACTCCTCCTGGGCCTTGTTAGGGGCTCTCAGATCCCTTCCTTCCACTTACTTTTACTGCCTTCCTCTCACTACCCCTCCCTTCCTAAACCTTTATTTCCTCCTCCCTGCACACTATAAGGAATCCCTGGTGGCATAGTGGTTAAGAGCTACATCTGGTAACCAAAAGGTCAGCAGTTCAAATCCACCAGGTGCTCCTTGGAAACTCCACGGGGCGGTTCTACTTTGCCTATAGGGCCGCTATGAGTTGGAATCGACTTGACGGCAGTGGGTTTTCAGGTTTTGCACACTATAACCTCCACCTTTTTGCTCACAATGTATATTCCTACCTCAAGTACCCTCCCCTCTTCTCCCTTTCTAAATATTCTCCTCCCCTTTTACATTCTAGCTCACTTCCCATTTCCCCTGCAGTCTTTCCTGACCCTCCAGTTCACAAGGATCTTTCCATACATTCACAGCACTTAAGAGTACTGATGCTTCCATTCAATTGACACTTGATCCTATATTGCCTTGTGTTCCTAGAGCATTATTTTACTGTACTTTTTATATAACTCATGTATTGTTCTGTCAAATTTCTGTGGTGAAGTCCAACAAAAAGGAAGATTCAATTTTTCATTGTGAGACTGCTTGATAGGACTTCTCTCTCCAACCATATTAGGCTCCCTGGAAGAGATGAGGAAACCCTGGTGGCGTAGTGGTTAAGAGCTACGGCTGCTAACCAAAAGGTTGGCAGTTTGAATCCACCAGGCGCTCCTTGGAAACTCTATGGGGCAGCTCTACTCTGTCCTATAGGGTCGCTATGAGTCAGAATCGATCCGACGGCAACGAGTTTGGGTTTTTTTTTTTGGAAGAGTTGAAAGAGTGCTTTATGCTCTGTTATATTTTCCATGGACTGTGTAGTTCTAGACACACAGTAGGTGTGAAGTAAGTGTTTGTGGGACCATTGAATGATTCAGAATCCATACAGGGAGTAGGTCACAAATGCTAAGGCACATTGCTGAAGTACAAAAACCAAAGGAATAAAATACTAGCGGAATAAACCAAGGTTAAAAATAAAAACTGTAAAAGGGATGACTTTCTAGTTACTTTTTATTAACTGTCATTAATTTGGCTAGTAATGCGAGAATGCATAGCATTAATTAATCTCAGTCTTTACTTATAATCATATTGTTTTGTGCATAACCCTGATACTTTTTTTCCACTTGGAAAGAGATAAGAAATGTAGCTCTTCGATACAGTAGAAGATCCTGAAGCTTTAAGTCTGTCCGTTTTCCACTGCAGTGAAATGGCCCAAAACCTGTTGCTGTCGAGTCAATTCTGACCCATAGCAACTCTATAGGACAGAGTAGTAGGGTTTTCAAGGAGCAGCTGGTAGATTTGAACTGCTGACCTTTTGGTCAGCAGCCGACCTCTTAACCACTGCGCCACCAGGGCCCCAGGGCCCAAAGTCACAGCATATTCAAGCCCCTCCCCCCAGACCACTCTGCATGCCGTGAGCTCAGGGAAAGGTGCCCATATTATTGCCTTGTGTCAATGCTGACCATCAGAAGAACTGGAAATGGGGACACAAAACCTAGATCTCAGCATTAGCACTTTGTTCCTCACTGTTTCCCCTGGTTTTTCTGAGTTATTCATCTAGCAGACACTCACTGAGTGCTTACTGTCACCCACCCTGTCCTGGGCAGGGCGTTTACATACACAATCTCATCTGCCCTCACCACGGCCCTTGAAGGTAGTTATCACGAATGTTGCTATTTTGCAAATAGGGACCTTGTTCAGAGATGATGGCATTGATGCCAAAGTTCTTGTTCTTTACACTTCGTCAGGCTGCCTCCCGGGTGCTCAGTATATATATGACAGAGGCATGAGTTAATGAATGACCCAAACATGTGTAGTTTTTACAAACACAATTTAACTACAATAGACCATGTAGAGGAGCAAAGTAACAGCATTAACCTTTTGTTAAAGAGATATTATTGAAATACAAGTGTTGACATGGCCAAGTGTTTGAATGAAACTTTCTGGAGGGGAGAGTTGAGCTTTTATTTTCTTTGCTGATGCTCTGAGACGGGGCTCCCACCCCTTTCTTCTTCCAGAAATATGTAATCTAGTCATCTTATTAGACCTCCAAGTCCTTTTCAGCTCAAGCACTACACCAGGGCTCGAAGGTCTGGGAGGCCATGACAGTCATCTATGTCCTGCCCTCCAACAGGCTGGGCAGCCATAGTGAAAAACCAAAGTGCCTGTTGACCACAATCTGGTAACTGTTTTAAATGTCGTAATCTTGTCAAGACCTCACCCTGAATGTTTAAATCTGTACAGATGGAAATGTGATGACCCAAGACTAATTTCAAAACAAATGACATAGAACTCAGCCCCTTAAAATACAAAAGATCAAATTTTAAGAGTTGGAATCAACTTGACAAAAATGGGTTTTTTTGTAGGCAGCTTGGAGTTTGCATCTCTCCCAGCTATCAGAGTTTAGTAACAATTATTAGACTCGGTTGCTGACCCAGGAAACTCAGGCCAAGAGGCTCTGTCTTCCCAGTCTGCATGTGTTTGTTCTAATCGTCCCAGCCATCACTCACAATTACACAGCAGCTAGTGACAGAGTTCCTGGCTGGATCACTAGTCTCCGAAAAAGGCTAACTGCCACAAGAACCTCTTACATAATAAATTAATGATGCCATAATCACTTCATTCCCAAAGTGTGGAAATTTCCAGTATCGAAATATAAGTGTAGGAAAAAGAATCAAAAACCTCATGCTGTAGTAATATCAATGCAGTATCTTAAAGTATTTCCTTGGTTATGCCACTAAAATACTGCTTCAGTTACTGTAGTTATAGTTCAACAATGCTCCATATTTGAGAAAGCCATTTCAAAAGGCCCATTAGCTAAAAGATCCCAGAGGAGGTAGAGGCCAAGAAGCCATCAGTGCTACTTCTTAATACTCTCATATCATTTAACTGGGAGTTCCATTTAAATGATACAGTCTTACCACAAAAAGCTTCCCCCCAAAAAAGTTATCTCAGCACTCTACTATTTTCAAGGACACACGAGAACTAGCATCAAGAAGTTCAGTGTCATACGGCTGCTCTCCCACGTTACACCTTTATATAAGCACAGATGGTATGTTTGTCATTTTGCTCAGCCTAATTGGGGAGCGTAAGGAGGACTCCCAGTTCTTGTCCCAGCTCTGGGCAGAGTCCTTTGCTTTAGTGGTGCAAAGAGCAGAGAGCTGTCCTCCGCCCTCTTCTCCTGCAAAGCAGTTCCCAACCCACCTCTCCTAAGGGGTTAGACTGAGCGAGGGGAGTCCACAGCATTCACACCAGGCCACAGCAGAGCAGCATTCTCAGTTAGCAAACCTGCTCCCCCTGTCAGGAGAAGTGCTCCCGACAAATGGGGATTCAAATGAGGAAATGCAAGGGAAGGAACATTCCAGGGTGAAATCAAAAACAAGGGAAAAAAAAAAAAGACAGGAAAAAGTAAATAAATAAATAAAAATGCACAAAGCCCATGTGGCTGGCTGGTTTAACCATGGGTTAGAATCAGGGTCAGAGTATCACACGGTAACCAAGTGTCTCGGAAAATCCCAAAACCCCAGGGTGAAAGACGTGGGGGTGAAAGGTATTCCTATTTTTGGAAACATGAAGTTTCCTTCTTTCACCATTTAGTCTTTCTCTCTCTCTCTTTTTTTTTTTTTTGGTCTGTTTGTAACTCAATTTGAACCATCAATCATTTTTACCTGCCCAGCATTTTCATCTTTCTAGAGTCACAAGAGCCACAAAGATGGGCTCCAAGGAACCTTTTCCCATAGCCAATTGCAATTAGCCCTTCTCTCCCAGGGTTACAGAGTGCTCGGAGCAGACATCTGCAGTGGGACATGCCACACACAGCAAGTCGCCAAAACCAGATTGCGTGAAAGGGCTTCCAGGGCACTTACTTGTACTTGTGCTGGTTCCAATTGTATTGATTGTGGTAGGGACCGACGAGGAGGAGTAGAGGGGCACATGGCCATTCTCACACCCCAGGCTTTTGTCCTGCCAGTTGGAGGCGTTGATGCAAATCCCAGAATCCCGAGAGTTCTGCCACCCGTTGAGCTTGTCGTCGGAGTTCTGTCTTTGGTGATAGTAGTGTGTCTGCCCATAATCCACAGAGTCCGTGTGGCCTCGGTTCTGGCCACTGAAGCTGGTCGATGTGCGGTCCTCCAAGTGGTTAAGCCACATGGCTAAAGCACTGCGGTCTTCCAATGAAGTGGCCGGATGTATCAATGCATAGGACAGCAGCTGCCTGCTCTCCTCAATGTGCTGGTTGTGTTCAATAGAGTGGGCCAGGATTTTGGGCAGCAGTTTCATATACTCTACTTTTGCGTCGAGGTTTCCTGGCTTCAGCAAAGGCAGGTGAGTTAACAGGAGGGAAATCACTTTATCCTTGGATTCCTGTTGCCATTGGTTAATGATTCCTGAAAAGGAAAATATACAGGGCAAATAAGCAAATACACCCACTCTGACACTAAACACCACACTGTAAAGAGAAGTCCTGTGGATTAGAGTCTCAATCTATGTACCTGGCTAAATTTTCTCAAAATAGCCAAGGCATTGGTTAAATAACTGACCTTGGGTTGTCAGGGGACACTGACTTCAATGAAACACAGAACAAATGTTCTGACATGTTTACGTGCTCAATCTAATTCTCATTCATGTCTCCAAAGAGGTGACGACTACTTAGGTACAATCAAAGAGAATTTACAGCCCTATATTCTTTCTTAGAAAAGTCTAGCCACTCCCTCAGATAGGGTGCAAAAGAATAAGGAAATCTCCGCAGAACAGCAAGTATAACTAAGGTCCACATAACCAAGACCTTGGGGGAAGGCTGCTTCTCCACTCCCAAGTATCTATGGAAAGTGGTTTAAACCCTGGCAAAGGCATTTGTGTGAAGTTTGTTAAACTTCACAGATGGAGAAAACTGCCAGAAGAAAAGTACTTCTCTCATCTCATCATAGTAAGTCTGTACCTTTCACCTGACTCAGAGGAAGGACACGGGCTCAAAGCTAGAATGAGCAATGGATCTAAGACTTGGCTCCAGGGTCTCCTCTGAGCACACATGCCAAGCAGGCTATTTTTATGTGAAGATCTGTTTTTAACGCACTCACAAGGATCCCTTCCTGCTCTCTCCCACTCAAAGCACAAGCATGTTGCCTTAAGTAAACATGGACAAATAATGCACTATGTATTCATTGGCCTTTGGGGAGTAGCTGGTTCTGGAGGCTGACAGTTAGCTGCCGGAACTTAGGCCACAGGAAAGAAAAGTTCCCTTCCAGAAAAGCCATTCCCGAAACCGACAGACCTCAACTCTGGCCCACTGATGACCCTACCAGAGTTAGTGCTGCACAGTCCTGCAGGCTTTTATGCAGAATCTACACGGTTGAAAAGAGGGTTTCTGGAATTTGGCCATAGGGCTTCACAATTCTAGCTAGGCACAAACATATTAGAAAAAGCCCAATGGTCATTACTGACCATAAGCTACAAATGCATCGGTCATGTCCTACAAGGCATCTCAAGACCACAAGAGCATATTCAAAGAAAAGTATCAGACAAGGAAGGAATGGAATATCATGAAAGAATGTGGACTCTGGAGTCAGGCAAAGCTGGGTATACATCCCAGATCTGCCACTTAATTTGTGGTAAAACTTTGACAAGTCATTTAACCTCTCTGAGCCTCTACTGCTGCATCAGCCAAACCTATTGCCATCAAGTTGATTCCAACTCATAGCAACCCTATAGGGCAGAGTAGAACTGCCCCATAGGGTTTCCAAAGCTGTAAATTTTTATGGAAGCAGACTGCCACATCTTTCTCCCATGGATTGCTGGCGGGTTCAAACCACTGGCCTTTTGGTTAGCAGCTAAGCACTTAACTACTGTGCCACCAGAGGTCCTTCATCAGTCAAGCCCCGTGGCCCTTAAGTCGATTCTGACTCATAGCTACAGCAGCTGGTGGATTCAAATTGCCAGCCTTTTGGTTAGCAGACGTAGCTCTTAACCACTGCACCACCAGGGCTCCCATCAGTCAAGAGTGGCACAACAGTGCCTGCCCCTCATTGTGCTGTAGGATTAAATGAGGTAATGAATCAAAAGGACCAGTCAAGTACTTGGTAGTGGAAGTAATTCTTTCTACCTGTCTTTGCATTAGTCAGGCACTCACTAGCACGATATGGGTGGTTTCCGATACCAAGTTTTAAAAATAATATAGAGAACCAAATGGTCAATAATTACTCTAAAGCAAAGATGAAAGAGTAAGGGGACACAAAAACCAGATTACTGGTAACGAAACATCCAGAATGGAATTAATGAGAATATTGACTCATTGTGAAAAATGTAACCAATGTCACTGAACAATTTGTGTAGTAATTGTTAAACAGGAACCTAATTTGCTCTGTAAACTTTTACCGAAACACAATAAATTATTATTAAAAAAATAATAATGTAGAGAAACTGGAGACAATCCAGGGGAGGTCACTAAAAATGATCAAAGGGTGGGAAAAGTGCAATAAAGTCAAAATATGAAAGGAAAGAAAATAGGGTTATTGAGCTTACACAGAAAGTAATACGAGAAGATACTTGATTCTCTTTAAGTAGGGATTTCATGAGGAGATGCTGAACCATCAACTATTTGAAGACTAAGTCTTCCAATTAAAAAAGAGAGATAAAAATTAGATGTGGCGAAGAACCGAGCTTCCAGAATGATAAAATACTTAGAGGAGTCACCAAGGAAGGCTCTAGAATCTCTCTCCTAGAGGCTTGAATAGTAGAGCTAGATGGTTTACAGCATCACTGTCCAACAGAAATATAATGTGAGCTATATATGAAATTATTAATTTCCTAGTAGTTACATTAATACAAAAAGAAACAGGTAAAAAAATAATTTTAATATAGTTTATTTAACCCAATATATCCAAAATATTATCATTTCAACATGTTAATTAATATAAAATTATTAATGAGATACTTCACATTCCTTTTTTCATATCATGTCTTCAGAATACCGGGTGTATTTTACCACCTGCAGCACATCTCAAATTGGACTAGCCACAGTTGAAGTTTTCAGAAGCCACATGTGGCTGGTGGCTACAGAACTGGATAGCACAGGGCTAGAGGCATTCAGATTGGGACAGACAGGCAGGAGGGTGCAGACGGCCTCGAAGGTCCTTCCCAGCTCCCTAATTCTATATTTAACTAATGCTACCTGACACAGGACTACCTTCGTGGCTTCTACTCGGTATCGCCTCCGTTTTAAAGTAGCTCTGGGAGATGAATAAAGCACTCATTCTAACTTTCTCACCAATACATTTTCAGCAAACACGTATGTTTTAGATTATTAATCTGTTTGGGATGAACGTAAAATCTATTCATTATGCCCAAGGATCTAACGAGGCACTGGGAAGAAGGCAAAGGAGCTGAGAGGAAGATAAACCTGTGTCATAAGCCAATACTGATGAGATGTAGATAGGTTCCACCTTTGAAAATATACATTTAAAAATAAAATCTGGGAACAATCTTTCATAAAAATGTACAAGGCTGAGGAACTCTCTAGTTTTCTGCTAGGTCATTTCCCTGTTTGGAAATTCTACACTTCCCCACAAAAGTCAGCCAAAAAAACAAAAATCAGGAACAAAACCAAACTGTAAATAGGACTCAGAATGCAAACTGAACATGTTATCTCCCTATAACCGCTCTCTCCAGGGATTAACCTGGGATTCAGAGAAAGCACAAGCACAGCAAAGAGGAAAAGAAAACGAGAAGCCACTGGCCCTGCTCCCTCCCAAGGCTGAAATGGTTCTTTCTCTGTCCTTGAAACAGGGCTTAGATGGCTATGACGTGGTCAGGAAGACAACTGTGGCTTTTGTTTAATACCACTGGGAACATGGAAATAAGATTGCCTTCTATGGCTAAATACACCTGCTGGATCAAACTATTTCTGCTCTTGTTATAGCTGCCACTGCTGACAGCTAACAGTTATTAAATGTTTTCTACGTGCCAGGCACTCTTCTAAGCTCTGTGCTTTTAATTACTCATTTAATCTTCACAAGAAGCTTATGAGATAGATCCTATTACCAACCTTATTTTACAGATGAGGACACAGAGGCACAGAAAGGTCAAGTAACTTGCCCAAGGTCTCCTGGCTGGTAAGGTGGCAGAAAGAGGCTATGCAAATTTGCTTAAAGATACACAATGATAAAGATACATAGAAAAGTTTGTCTACAAATTAAATCTATTACTAGAGTATATGGATCAGCAGATGGGTTGGTCAGCCATGGAAGCAGAGAAAAAAGGAGTTACAGAGACAATGTAGGCAATGCTTACTGCGGTTTTTATATGTCCACAACTTCTTTGACATTCTGTTCTTCACAAGATGGAACCTAATTCCCTTCCCTGAGTGTAGGTGGGACTTAGTGATCACTTTTAGCAAACAGAATGTAGTGGAAGTGACAGTGTATGACTTCACGGAATAGGTTATAAAAGGTATTGCAACTTCCACCTTGCTGTTTCTTGGATTACTCGCTCTGGAATAGGCCAGCTGCTGTGATCTGAGGACACTCAAGCAGTCCTATGGAGAGGTCCTTGTGGGGAGGAACTGAGGCCTCCTGCCAACAGCCAGCACCCACTTGCTAGCCATGTGATTAAACCATCTTGGAAGCAGATCTCTCAACCTCAGTTAAGCCTTCAGATTCCTGCAGACCCAAACGGCATCTTGAGGGACCCTGAGCCAGAACCACCCATATTCCTGATCCACAGAAACTGTATATATTTATTATTGTTTTAAAGTTATTTGTTATGCAGCCAAAGATAACTAATATACCTATCCAAATGCCTCTCTGGGAAAAAGGAAGTTTTAGTGATTTGGCTTTGAGAAATTCAGTCCTTCTGGTGAAGCCATTCCCATACTGAGGTGGAAGCATGAAAACTATCCTGCTGCCATTAAACACTCACCTCACTTAATCTCCCTTATCCTGATTATCCGCTCACCAAACAACCTTCAGACTATGATTTGGCTCCCCAGGTGCCTTCAGGCAGAGAATGCACTGAGCATACAGATTTGAGGTATTTCCAGATTCTGTGACAATAGTTTTTCAGGGCAACTTGATAAATGGTTTCTGATTATGATTTGGCTACCTGTGGAGGCCTGCCTCTAGGGAGAATGCAGGTTGATTATATGGACTTTGAATACGTCTGGTCCATCTGATGATGGTTTCTCATGGTAAATTAATAAGCCAGCATTGTGGGGTCTACTTCCCTGCTTTCTAGTTAGCACAAGTCAATCTCTCCGGGTGAGCAGCCCCAGGGCACTGACGAGAGTGAGAGTCTCTGCCTTCAAACAGAAGCCAGATCCTAAATGCAGGGACTTGGTACACCCTGGCTAGGTCCTGCCCAGCTGCCCACTGGCCTTTTTTGTGGAGTCCATACC